GGTCGAGGGCAGTAGTGGCACCAGGGATAGGAAAACCCTCAGAGAAAGAGCCAAGGAACTGAGCCAAACCACCACCTTCAGAGAAAGAGCCAAGGAACTGAGCCAAACCACCACCTTCAGAGAAAGAGCCAAGGAACTGAGCCAAACCACCACCTTCAGAGAAAGAGCCAAGGAACTGAGCCAAACCACCACCTTCCCGCAGACACAGACCGAGACAAACACCTCATGTAATAATATACTCTCTTACTGGGGAAGAAAGAGCTGCTCAGATCTGATGTACAGCTAATGGCATACGTTTAAGAACGGAATTAGACTAACTGACAGATAATAGATATTTAGGAGACTAGTGCAACACCTTAAAAGGACAGATTTCGTAACGTATGCAACATAGTCATGGGTTCGCAGAAAGAACTTTTTTGGGTCAAATTTGTTAAGAGTTTTATGAACATATGACAGGTGATTAGGCAGGAAGTAAAGGAACGGACTGATTGTATCTTCCTGAACTGCTAAAAAACTTCGTCATTCTACGGCACACGAGGAACAAGTGGTAGTAATTGCAAAACGTAAGAGTTTTACGTTTTGCACAACAGGATGCTGAGTAAAATAGTGAAAAGGAAAAGATCAGGTGTAAATTAACAACGGAAGTAACTCAGATACCAGTGTTATATCCAATATTGTTCCTGACATTAATCAATGAATTGAAGGATGAAGTACGATCCTAGATGGCATTGTCGATGATAAAAAAAAATCTGAAACTAATCAGAACACAGAAGTATTGCAGAACAAAAAAAAAAAAAATCCTGGACAACGTACTGATCTGATCTGTTAAATAAGTACTTAAATCTAACCCAAATCGGTCCAGTGTGACAAGACTGGGGCCGAGGTCGAGGAAGCCTCAGGACAATAAAAGGATCTAAAAACAGACATAACACCAAGGCTCTCACACGAGGCACACATTAACAATAAGTCTACAGTGTCATATGTGATGCTGGCGAACATTCATGTAGTCTTAGAAGTCTGGACAAAGAAGCTTTAAGGACGTTGTGCACTGTCAGACCAATATTAGTTTATTTCACTCCAGTTTGTAATCCAAAGCTAAACAAAGCCTGAGAACGTTTAGAAGTTTTCCAAACAGTTGAACTTAAGTGAGCTTGGCAATGATAAGTGTCTAAGGAAGCTCGACTGCGCTGCCTAGGGAAGATGAGTGAAACAGAAGTGACATGATTACGACATACGAAATTCTAAGAGACACTGACAAAACCAACACAAATTAGATGTTCTTAAGGCAGCAGAAAAAAGATAGAAAATGGGAGGAAACCAGAAAAAGATAGAAAATGGGAGGAAACCAGAAAAAGGTAGAAAATGGGAGAAAACCAGACACACAGATTACTCACAGGGATGTAAGGAGTTGCTTCCTCATTATCAGAGCAGCAAGCAAGAGAAATGGACTAAAATAGGAGGTAGCTGAGGCGAACTCCACTCAAAGTTCCATAACTAGGTAACATAACAAGCATGAGAGTAACGAACCATTGAAATAGGTGACCGTGTGGTGATCATTGAATGGCGGGGTCCAGGAGTTAAGGCTCGCTCTGATAACCCTTAAGGTGAGTATAAATGAAAAAAAATAAATAAAAAAATAAATAAATAAATAAATAAATAAACAAATAAAACTCCTACAAAAAAAAAATATAAAACCTAAAAATCATTTGTCGTGGCATCAGAAGTGTAACTACCCTGATGTTTCTAAGATTAGCCTCCTTCAGCCAACTCCATCGGCTCTAGTGCTTTAGGACACCAACAAGGTCACAAACACTAGCCCCCCCAGCCAATGTACTGACAACCCAACATGACACATACGCAAACAAACAACACATACAAAAATGTCAACCCATGGTGGACAGGCCACCGAACTTTCAAACCTCCTCTCTCTCTACACCCGCATCCTCTTCCTGAATTTCTTCTCCCCATCCCTCTACCTCCCCCATCCTTTCCATTCCCTATGGACATCAAAGCGAAGTGAGTATGCACATGTGAATAGATACTCTCAAACCAATAGATTACAGAGGATAGCAGACGGCAAAAACTGATAGATGAGAGAGACCGCGTGAAGAGGGAAGCAGACAGATGTACAAAATAAATAAATATAATTCGGTAAGAGAGACACAGCCCGACAACATGACTTGAGGCACTCACGGTAAGAGAGACACAGCCCGACAACATGACTTGAGGCACTCACGGAAGAACCTGGTGGGGTGTACGGGGCGGTAAATGACCTTGTAGCCCTGAAGGACGCCGTGCAGGGCTGCTGGCAGCGGCGGCATCCACTTCACTTTGAGGGACGTGGACGACGAGCTGGTGCACTGCACGTCCCGCGGCGCCTCACTCGGCACTGCAAATATCAACAGACATTATAAGGACTTTTATCTCGAAACCCTCTGGTCTCACCATCTAAATAATCTTCATTGATAAGGGTGGACTTTCTTTTAGAGCTTGCTTATAGACATATGGAGGCAAACTTCACATAGTGTGAGGCTTAAATTCTGATCTAAACATAAGTTTACACGGCTAAATTCGGATTGTTTATTGTCTCAATACAACGTATACTGAACTCGCTCCGTTTTCCTGATTTTTTATCAACTGAACAAGATAAACAGCCTAATGCAATCTATATGAAAACTAATCCAGGCAGCGAATAGTGCAACCATGCTTGTGCCTCACCGTCTTCTTCAGTAGCAGCGGTGACTGGCGCAGTCCTGGGCCCCGCCCCGGCGGAGTTGAAGGCCTGCACAGTCACATCGTAACTAGTAAACTTGTGCAAACTTTTCAGCGTCGCCTCTGGGCGGTAGAGGGCGGCGGCGGAGGGTTCTAGGTTCTGGTAGCGGTAAGGCTCTGACGAGTTGGCCACCCTGTACCCGACGTAGTAACCTAGCCCGTGGCGGTGGGACATGACGGTCTCTGGAGGCTGTGAGAAACACGCGAACAATTGAGCGTTTCTTAACAGTGATGGCAGTTTTGAAGACCCCAAAGCCAGTATCTAGGAGAAAACATATCAACTATCGACCAAGAAAATTTTTATGTGGCTCTTGTATGACTGAAGACCAAATGTGTCAGCGGAGAGATATGTTGGTAATTTATTCTGCATAATTGCTGTGGGATGGGGAACTGAGACACAGCTTAGCACTCCTCTGAAACATCAACAGCAAAAATGCAGAACGGACGTGGAAAGATAAATTATTGTAATGATTACGTGGAGGAAGTGGGGGAGGACAATAGTTACTGAGTAGTGGCATGTAAATAGTGGTAGAGGAAAGAGATGCAATTCTACTGTGGCAAGCTAATGTCCCAAGATTGAAAATAATTTTAAACGAATTATTTAATTACTAACTTTTATGTAATTTGCCTAAAGAACTTTGGTAGCAGGAGTTATCAAAGACATGACAGTGGTATTCAAGAGTAACACAAATAAGAATTTTATTGAGTGAAAAAAAGTGACACTAGTACTCAAATCTAGGACATTTAAGACTTTTATTGAGAGAAGAAAGTGAAAAGACGTAAAACAGCTTCTGAATTTGGAGAATGGTATTCTAAAGGTTCTCTTGGTAATCATAGAAAGCTGGATCACTGAGGAGCTTACCACAGTCGAGCTGGGCGGTGGAGACACCACGAACATAATCATACTTGTTTCACATGAGTGGCTATATTTGCTTGACGCACGTGCCTGTGTTTGCTTGACGCACGTGCCTGTGTTTGCTTGACGCACGTGCCTGTGTTTGCTTGACGCACGTGCCTGTGTTTGCTTGACGCACGTGCCTGTGTTTGCTTGACGCACGTGCCTGTGTTTGCTTGACGCACGTGCCTGTGTTTGCTTGATGCATGTTCCTGTGTTTACAAGGCACTCATGGCAGTGTTTACATGTCACATGTGGCCGTGTTTACATGTCACACGTGGCCGTGTTTACATGTCACACGTGGCCGTATTTACATGTCACACGTGGCCGTGTTTACATGTCACACGTGGCCGTATTTACATGTCACACGTGGCCGTGTTTACATGACACACGTGGCCGTGTTTACATGTCACATGTGGCCGTGTTTACATGTCACATGTGGCCGTGTTTACATGTCACATGTGGCCGTGTTTACATGTCACATGTGGCCGTGTTTACATGTCACATGTGGCCGTGTTTACATGTCACATGTGGCCGTGTTTACATGTCACATGTGGCCGTGTTTACATGTCACATGTGGCCGTGTTTACAAGACTTACCTGCCAGGTGACTCTAAGGCTGGTGGAGGAGATGGGTATAACCCGGACATTGGTGGGCGGCATGGTGGGCGGCTCGTGGGCAGTGGTGACCCGCACCTCCGGGCTGGGCTGCGAGGTGCCAACAGAGTTCACGCCCACGACCCTCATCAGGTAGGCGTGGGCGGGGGCCAGACCAGAAATGTGGGCTAAAGGCGTCGCCACTTCCACCGTCTTGATCCTACCAACGTTCATCCACGAGTCTGTTGGTAATGACCAAAGGCGTCATTTCTAACTGATAAAAGTGAAGCACAAGTTAGACAAGAATTAATCAAACAAACGTTATTCCTTCACCCGTGCCTTCACTATTTCGTGCGTCACGTAATTGTTGATATAATTGTTAAAGTAGAATAAGAGTTTCGTTAGGGTTTGAAACGTTTGTACTAACACCAAATCCTAAGGAAATCAGAGATTCCACTCACAGTTAAATCACACGTGCTTCCCTACACACACAGTCTTAAACACTAACCCCCCCCAAAAATAAAAAAAATCCCTTAACACAAAGTAACCTATAACACACAATTTTCCCTACACACTTAATGCTCCCCAAAACACCCAGAATATTCCCTCACACAAAGACACCCTTACCCTTAGCCTCCCTTTACATAGAATCTCCATCACTCAAAATCTTTACACAAAACCCTCTGAAATACCCCCCCTCTTCCCTTGCGTTCCCCAGGTCGTTAGTCACAGCCACAAAGCAGGAGCTCTTAGCGTGGGGCAGCGGGCTCTTGAGCACAGTGACCGCACTGCGACCGCATCACTCTCGCCTGTTCATAATTAACGCTGAAAAAAGACACATTGTTTATATATCTTGTTATATTTCACTCTTTGATCGCTGGTTTATCCTACAGGACAATGATCAATTTAACTATTCTTATTGACGATTGTTGTCCCCTAACTTCCCTTGCCACTTCGGGGAGGAGGGGGGGGGGGGTATAGGGTGTTCATGTAGCTTCAGGGCACCGATCCCCCCCAGCCACAGGGCATGGCGAGAAGGCACCCCTAAGCATACCTAATTCCCTATCAAACACAAACAAAAATACACATAAATGGCAGATCTCATCACAACCCCACAAGAGTTAAGAGGATAATAATAACACACAATAATAAATGGTAATAATAATATACACAAAACGGAAAATATCTTTTGTATTTCGTTTTCTTATATGGGACACAGCACACACAGGTACGGGTGCACAGTGTATCATTAAAAAGAACTAGAGCTGAAGGCAAAACAAATTAAGCTGCCTAAGCGGCAGGATTGGTGACTTGACGTCGGCATACATGGAAAAAAGCTATTCATAGTAGAAGCTGCTAACAAGGCCCCGGAGCGGGAGGGTTGTCATGTATGCGCATGGGGGGGTCCAGGGGCCGCTGCCTTACCCACTCGTGGGCTCCGGCCAGGTCATCAACTCTCTTGCGAGACACCATTTGGAGAAGTGGTACTCCAGATGACGACTCTGCTTAGATAGTTGGCTTTCAGCTATCCTGGCTGCGGTTCACCTAAACAAGACTATATGGACCCTTATGCACCCTGTGCACGGTGATCCTGAGACTAAGGTGGTCTGCCCCTTGATGTGGTCTTGGACCATATTCTGTAGATGGAATATGTCCAGGTCAGGGCTTTCACAGAGCAAATCTCAAGGTCGCTCTTAGTGAGTCCCATATCCTGAAGACCACTCGCACTCTCCTTGCACCATCCTTCTCTCCAATTGAGGGTTATCGAAGAGGCGGATGCTGTGTGCTTCCCGGTATATTCCCTCACCTTTTGAAGGATCTCTGGGGTGCCGTACTTGTCGCACTTGCTCAAATGTGGACGGGAGAGTGGGAAATAAGTCGTACCAGCGTTGTTCAGCGATCCACCTTTCTCAGCAAATGCTGAGTATCCTTTATTTAAATTGTCGTATTTTAAATCACCTGTGAAACCCACCTGTGCTGTTGATGATGAGGATCCTGTAGATGGAGATGTGGGAGTTGCCGTCGTGGGTGGGGGCGGCCCAGGTGATGTTCACGGTCCGAGAACCACTCTCAACCACCCGTGGGGACCCCGGTGTTCCCGGCACCTCTGGAATCACAACGGTCACAGCTCCGTGATGGTGGAAATATCTCAGGAAGTACTACGAACGGTTAGGTAGACCGTCAGCATGTGTGCAAATCAGTAACTTTGTTTAACCTCACGATCAGCAACTTTACAAACTTTATCACTATAACTATACTTAAACCATAAATTAACCAGGCAAGAACTACCAATCTGTCATAAATGAACTAAAAATCTGCTAGACGTCAACCATGCATCAGCCAGATAATACATTATACAATATGATCAATACGAGGTCAATCTTCTATACACGGGTCATCAACCTGCTTCACGTAGGTTGATGACCGCTGCCGCACGCTCACCCTGTACAATCAAGTTGACTTTCTTAGTGTCGTTGCCGTAGACGTTGGAGGCGAGGCAGTAGAAGATTTTAGAGTCATGACGAGACTTGGTGGCTACGCTCATCACCGACCTGTAACCTTCTACGCCTCCACCAAGCGAGGGTTCACCGGAGGAAGAGGAGGAGGAGATGGTAGTGGACGTCGACGGGGGTGTCGACGAAGCATTGAGTATGGTCTCCTTGATACTCAGGCCCCCGCTCCTCACGTCGTTTGAGAGCTGTCAACAACATTCTACGTTATTTTAAGTGACCAGCAGAACTCGTTCCTTAAAGGGAATATAATCAAAACATAATAATAATAATAATAATAATAATAGAGGAGGTGCAGTAATAATTATGATAATATTAAGAAAATCAGTAGGATCCACGAAGAGGATTCGAACCCGCACACTTGGTACCTCCAAGCACACGTCCTTGACCACTACACCACGACATGGTCTAAAAACAATGCAACCTGGGATTCAACTGAATCCTCTAGGGTTCCTGGGGCTTCCACTGAAGCTCAATCAAGGTTTCACACATTGCCTCCATGCACTCTGGTTATAGTCGTGGTGTAGTTGTGTAGGACATGTGCTTAGGAGTGTGCAGGTTCGAATCCTCCTCATGGCTCCTGCTGATTTTATCATTGATACATCACGTTAATGTGATTTCATTGTGTAATGATCACATTATTGATAATAAAAAACAATATTACTGCCTATATGAGTCATAGATTATGCAAAACTATATAATTTACAGCTTTCAACCAAGAATTTGATTTTAATGACGAAATTTAGTAAAGTGTTGATCAAATGTTTATTTTTCTGTTAATTAGCTGAATATAAGGAAGTCTTTTCCCCTCATTATATTCTGAGCAGATTCTAGCATATACTTTCATACAATGATTTTTTTTGGCACAATTGATGTTGGCCCAAATTTAATTAGCTTGTATTTCTTTGAAAATCCTTTAATTAACCTATTTGTATGGCTAAAACAAGTTGGTTAAACTATGAACAAGTCCTGCATGGGTGAATGGTGCCTGCCCCTGGCAGGAGTGATGACCTACCCTGCCAGGAAGAGTGATGACCTACCCTGGCAGGAGAGATGACCTACCCTGGCAGGAGTGATGACCTACCCTGGCAGGAGAGATGACCTACCCTGGCAGGAGTGATGACCTACCCTGGCAGGAGGAGTGATGACCTACCCTGGCAGGAGTGATGACCTTCCCAGGCAGGAGGGGTGATGACCTACCCCGGCAGGAGGAGTAATGACCTACCCTGGCAGGAGGAGTGATGACCTACCCTGGCAGGAGGAGTGATGACCTATCCTGGCAGGAGGAGTGATGACCTACCCTGGCAGGAGGAGTGATGACCTACCCCGGCAGGAGGAGTGATGACCTACCCTGGCAGGAGGAGTAATGACCTACCCTGGCAGGAGGAGTAATGACCTACCCTGGCAGGAGGAGTGATGACCTACCCTGGCAGGAGGGGTGATGACCTGCCCTGGCAGGAGGGGTGATGACCTACCCTGGCAGGAGGAGTGATGACCTACCCAGGCAGGAGGAGTGATGACCTACCCCGGCAGGAGGAGTGATGACCTGCCCTGGCAGGAGGGGTGATGACCTACCCTGGCAGGAGGAGTGATGACCTACCCTGGCAGGAGGAGTGATGACCTACCCTGGCAGGAGGGGTGATGACCTACCCTGGCAGGAGGGGTGATGACCTACCCAGGCAGGAGGAGTGATGACCTACCCTGGCAGGAGGAGTGATGACCTACTCAGGCAGGAGGAGTGATGACCTACCCCGGCAGGAGGAGTAATGACCTACCCTGGCAGGAGGAGTGATGACCTACCCTGGCAGGAGTGATGACCTACCCAGGCAGGAGGAGTGATGACCTGCCCTGGCAGGAGGAGTGATGACCTACCCTGGCAGGAGGAGTAATGACCTACCCTGGCAGGAGGGGTGATGACCTACCCTGGCAGGAGGGTTGCCCGAGGACCAGATGGTGGTGATGGGCAGGTCTCCCCGCGCCTCACACACCAGGTGGGCGCGTCGTCCCGCCGTCACCGTCACGTTCTCCTCTCGCTCCACGAACTGTGGCGGAACTGTGGTGGGAAAACATCCCCCGTTACACGTACAAATATCCAATACAAGGCCCAAATTGGCCTACGTGACTCATAAACAGGCATTCAAAATTACCACATTGCAGGTGTTTAAAATATATGAGAATTACTTAGGATACCAGCTGTATAATAACATTTTACTCACATAATGTCAATTACACGTCATAAGCTCATTTAGTGGGTCCTAATACCCAGAAAAATAATGATCCGTAGGAGGTAATAATTCGACAACCGTGTTACAAAGTGTATGTGAGGAATATGCAAGAAACACCTCACATTGTTTCAACGTTGAATGATACTGTAATCTTAAGAATGATACTGTAATCTTAAGAAATTTACGAGAAGTCAATATATCAAAAAGGGAATCAAATTCAATGTATCCCTTGTAAAATGCATCCTCAATAGCTCGGAGGAGTGATGCCTATGCCTAATGTCTCGCGTGTAAAGCTTCGGCTTCACACGCGTAGGGTCCGCGGTTCGAGTGTCCTAGAGCCCAAGTGAAAAGAATGCATCACTTGTATTATTTTTAATTAACCATAGAAGACGCATACAAACCAAACTCCGTTATTAATGTAGGCCATTACCCCACTTAATTTTATAGAGAAATAATTCATTACTAATTAAATGCCATTGGCAACTGGGGGGGCACTGCTCCCCACCAGTGGGGGGGATGGGGGGGGGCACAGCTCACCCACCCGTGGGGGCATACGTACTCAGAGATAAATGGTAAGTTTTCTCTGAATGCTCTGTGTTCCCTTCTTCGAGGCTGTGGGTACCAACAATTGTACCAGAGGTGGTACCCCCCTTTATTTATATATATGTCGTACCTAGTAGCCAGAACGCACTTCTCAGCCTACTATGCAAGGCCCGATTTGCATAATAAGCCAAGTTTTCATGAATTAATTGTTTTTCGACTACCTAACCTACCTAACCTAACCTAACCTAACTTTTTCGGCTACCTAACCTAACCTAACCTATAAAGATAGGTTAGGTTAGGTTAGGTAGGGTTGGTTAGGTTCGGTCATATATCTACTTTAATTTTATCTCCAATAAAAAACAATTGACCTCATACATAATGAAATGGGTAGCTTTATCATTTCATAAGAAAAAAATTAGAGAAAATATATTAATTCAGGAAAACTTGGCTTATTAGGCAAATCGGGCCTTGCATAGTAGGCTGAGAAGTGAGTTCTGGCTACTAGGTACGACATATATATATATATATATATATATATATATATATATATATATATATATATATATATATATATATATATATAAAATCAATGTTACCACCCATGAACAAAAACTGTTAAATAGTGTAAGACCAACATATAAGCCGTGTTAGGGGGTAGGGTCACTACTCTGTAACGTTATACTTCATAATGAGCGTAACTGTACCAGTCATTTGTAGCAGTGTTGTGACCACCTGTAATGTGTACTGTTGACGGCAGGTGATATACTCGTTTGAACACCTGGGACACGGCCGAGAGATATTCGTAATAATTTACACTTGAAAAATATTTGAGGTTAGTTTCAAATCATCACATGGAAATAACTCCTTACGAGACCAGGGGCCAGATTCACGAAAGCACTTACGCAAGTACTCACGGGCGTGTACATCTTTCCTCAATCTTTGACGGCTTTGGTTACACTTATTAAACAGTTTACAAGCATGAAAACTTCCCATTCAACTGTTGTTATTGTTATAAACAGCCTCCTGGTGCTTCGGAGCTCATTAACTGTTTAATAATTGTAAACAAAGCCGCCAAAGATTGAGAAAAGATGTACAGATTCGTAAGTGCTTTCGTGAATCTGGCTCCAGGAGGTATGGCAGGAAGTGCGAAATATCCTGGTAGAGCTCAGAGGAGCAATAGGCATGCTGTGAGACAATTCAATCAATTTGAAGGGACCGAGACTGTTCAAGACTTTCCCTTCTTGATATGTAAAGGTAATAACTAGTCGATGCCTCACAATGTTGCAAAGAGAACTTGATAAACACTTCCAAGGAATACTTGATCCACCGAGCTGTAACTCACACATCGGACTACGAGCAGCGGCGGCTAACAGCCTGGTTGACCGGGTTAGATACCTTGGGAGAGACTCATTTGATAGAGGTCAAGCAGAGAGTGGCTAGGGACATCATTCAATAAGCTCAGGGTGTTATAAGTTATACCATCCTCACCAGGGGCAGTTTGTTTAGGTTTAACTAATGCTGATGTTAATTCAAAGGGGGTTATAGGAAACTGATCTGTTAAATCTGGTGAGGAGCGTGCTATTTCAATATTAAAGTTTCTGTTAATGTTGGTATGTCTTAAATGCTGCTGTATATCTGGGGGTAAGGAAGAAATTTGTGAGACACTAGACCATTGAGCTAGGAGCATGTCAGCATATTCTGCAGGAGTATGATGAAGCTGAACTGGGGCTGAAGGTTTGGTAATGTTTTTAATTTTGTTCCACATTTCCGATAATGTTGTGGTTCTATTGATACCTTGTAGGAATTGTTCCCAATATGTGTCCTTAACTTGACCCTTAAGCTCGCGAAAATCTCTGTTGGCATTGAGGAATGCAAGTAAATTGTCAGCTGTTTTGTCTCGTTCATAACAGCCAGCAGCTGAAGCACTTTAGCTCTGCAATAATAATAGGATCCTCTGTCCATGAGGAAGAACGAGTGTTCTTTTTTTTCCTTGATTTAACCCAGACCGGGGAGCCGGTCGGCCGAGCGGACAGCACGCTGGCTTGTGATCCTGTGGTCCTGGGTTCGATCCCAGGCGCCGGCGAGAAACAATGGGCAGAGTTTCTTTCACTCTATGCCCCTGTTACCTAGCAGTAAAATAGGTACCTGGGTGTTAGTCAGCTGTCACGGGCTGCTTCCTGGGGGTGGAGGCCTGGTCGAGGACCGGGCCGCGGGGACACTAAAGCCCCGAAATCATCTCAAGATAATCTAAGGTATCATAATAACTGGTAATGATACTGACCTTATCATTGTAAAAGTGGTCCACTGATACAGGTGTATACCCAGTGTACCACTTATGTACATAAGCCTTAAAGTGCTGTTTAAAATTGTCTGGAATGTTAATTTTAACTCTAGGATGAGGATTGGACCTAATATCCGCCACAGTGTATTCACAATATATTGCAAAATGATCACTACTAGTTCTGGGATGAGCTTAACGTTGACGTTACTATCTACTAGGCTGTAGCCAATCACATAATCCAGCCTACCTCCCAATAAATGGGTCTGTTTATCAGTATCATACACAGTAATATTATGATCAGTAAGGTATTTCAAGAAGACCCTTCCAATATTGTTACACTGAACGTCACCAAGAGCAGTGTGACGAGCATTAAAGTTACCCATACATAACATACCTGTGTTACCTGTAGGTGTCGGTAGCAGGTCTGCTTTAAGTACACTACATCGTCCATATATGTTATACAGTAGGAAATGGCTATTTGCAGTTTGTAATTTTAATTTTTGATAATGTATACTATCACTCCTGTGATTTTTAATTAGTTTACAGATTAAGCCATTCCTAATATACGTTAGTAAACCAGTTCCAATATCGTTGTTGTATGCTGTATACCCAGGTATCCTGGGTGGAACCTTTTTGATAGTTGTAGATGTATATGGTTCCTGTAAATAAATCACATCCACGTCTCTCATTTTAGTATACAAGATTACGTCATTTATCCGAAGATAAACACTTCGAATGTTCCAAGAAATAAACTTAACTGTTTTTGTTTGATGAGCCATGGTTACGTATCAAGGGAATTAAGGTAACATTTAAGCTCGTTAAACACTTGGACAACATAAGCAGCTTTGTCCCGTGTGTCCTGAGTAATATTACTTTTGCGTAGGAGGCGTTTAACCAGAGTAGCAGTTGGTGTTCTCTTAAACTCTTTATCTGTAACCAACTCCAGGGTTTCATTATGATCTAGTGGGGGTGTCAGTGAGGGCTCAATGACTACTCTAACACCATGCCCAACGGGGATTTGACACTCACGTTCCGTAGAGATAGGTGACGTAGCCTCAACAGCTGCAACATTACCACTCGCATCACTACTGGTGCTGGGAGAATTTACTTGATCACTATCGCTAGCATGATTCACTTCACCCTTATCACCGGGCAGATTCGTTTCTAATGTTTTTATTTTAAGTTCCAATTCAGTCATTTTCTTTTTTTAACCAGTCAATTTCTTCTGTATCTTTGCTTGTTTGCTTTAATCCGTCGATGATTGGAAACTGCTCACTAGAGGTGACATCAAGAGCTTCCTGCTGGGTGCCTCCTGCAGCTGGACCAGACGCCACTGGCTTCCTGTTCGTGTTAGAGAGGGCGGGCCGTAGAGGGCAGCCATGATGCCAGACATCTACGCCTTCACGCAAACACCTGGGACACCTCCGGACCGGAGGAGAGGCTTCCTCCCCGTCCTCAAGGGTAGGGGGGTCGACCTTTGAGGACACTGCCTTGTATCGTGCTGTTCAGCACAGAGCCCACACACAGGGTCATGTCGACAGTACGTAGAGATATGATGAGTACCGTGGCACTTATAACAAAGAACAGGGGGGGATACCCAAGATCTGATAGGACTTGATGGGGTGAAATGTCCAAAGAAGGTGTTATGTTCAGGGGGAGGGTCACTGCCATTCCAAATAATGATGATCCTGTTGAGAGGTTGACCATCCTTATGTATCCGTCTTGTCTCGTAGACTCCTTCAAGGTTATAAGCTCTCTCAAGAGGATACTCTTTGGGAAAACTGGTAACAAGATATTCCTTAAATTTTTTAGGGCGATTGATGATGTCTCCTCTGGTGAAAACAATATTACCAACCTTACCGTCAACCAGTTGAGTGATGATAGCTTCTTGCGTACGTGCCACAAAGATGTAAGGGGAAGTTGGTCTACGTCGGACTATATCGAGGAATGTTTTGAAGAAGTTATTAGAAAGTTGTTCGAACCATGTCAGTTTATCGTGGGTGGATGTTCCAGGTGGGAATGCCAGGCGCACATAATCAGTGCGGGGAGCACTAGGAGGCTTGGGTGGGCGTGCCCCTGGCTGGGTGGGCCCACCACCACCCACCTCCACTTTCTTCACACGGGTTCCGGTGTTGCTGTCATCATTGCCAATGATCTCCTCGCCATCAGCAGAGTCTGCATGTTTAGAATTCCTTCTCGCATCCCGCGATTGTTGCACGTGCCACTCATTGTCGTTATCCAAATAAGCATCGAGTTCCATGTCATCGGGTGACTGCAACCCACTTTGAGCATCAACATATTCCTCGCCGACGGGCTCAGGATCCATTGCTTGGAGATCACTTGGATTAACAGGCACAACAGAAGGTAGGGTGGTACTGAGCCCGGTTGCCCTGACAACGGGCCAGGAGGCACAACACAGGGTAGCTGCCCGGGGCTCCACCACTCACCCAGGCTAGGACACTGTTACCTACCTCATGTAAACACACCACCAGTCGCGCACACAAACCACGACCCTGGGAAGGAGGGCCCAAGGACTATTTTACACACGAGGGGAGCGTGGGGCCAGGTACACCATAAGGCGACAAGGTGCCGTCCCACCGTTCCTCTGGGTAGACTTCAGATACCGCTACACAAATAATGTCTTCATGAATTTCTATACAATCCAGCTATCCACAACCTACAACAGTTGGTAGTCAGAGTGTCGCACACTTAGTACCGCTGCTGCTGACCTATTAGGCACGCTAAAGGCTAAATGTTAGGACCAGGCCTCTGTTAAACCGGACGAGGTTATCTTGAGGTTATCTTGAGATGATTTCGGGGCTTTTTAGTGTCCCCGCGGCCCGGTCCTCGACCAGGCCTCCACCCCCAGGAAGCAGCCCGTGACAGCTGACTAACACCCAGGTACCTATTTTACTGCTAGGTAACAGGGGCATAGGGTGAAAGAAACTCTGCCCATTGTTTCTCGCCGGCGCCTGGGATCGAACCCAGGACCACAGGATCACAAGTCCCGCGTGCTGTCCGCTCGGCCGACCGGCCCCCCACTTCCACGAGGGGCACATCCTGACCGGCCAGTCCCGTGGCTCCAGGAGAACCACATATGAATGTGCTTTAACATATTTAATACATCTACATAAACGACAAATAGGAAAAAAAATATGATTAAACATAATTTGACTGAAGAAGCCCAACACTTGAATTAACAAATTAAACTATAAATACTATATAAAGATATTGCAACTCGATATTGATATTGCATTTGTGAATATGAAACAATATTTAATATTGGTAAATTAATTTGAACCTTGTCCTTTGTAGATGTTTTCCATATTACAGCTCCACCTTTGGAGCACCTCCTTTGGAGTATCTTTTGGAGCACCTCCAAAGGATACCTGATCAACCAGGCCGTGACTCATACGTCAGGCTGCGAGCAGCCGCGTCCAACAGCCTGGTTGATCAGTCCGGCAACCAGGAGGCCTGGTCGACGACCGGGCCGCGGGAACGCTAAGCCCCGGAAGCACCTCAAGGTAACCTCAAGGTTGGAGCATATGACACCTTGCATTATTGAGAGATAGATAACTACAGTGAGCAAGGATAAATAGTCATCGATATTACCCTTGACAGTGACGGTGACGGACTTGGAGAGATCGGAGCCGACACCGTTGGAGGCGCTGCAGAGGAACTCGCCGCCCTGGTTCCTCCTGATCCCTCGTACAGTCAGGCTGCTGTTCCGCTCCACCCTGTGAATGGTCACCGGGAGGGGGGAAGGTTATCCGAGGTCAACAGGGAGCTTACACACCCCCAGCGAGGAGGATGGAAGAGACATAGCAGGGGGAGGGGGGGGGGGGGAGGTCACACAGATCAGGAGGTGGTCAGCTAAGTCAAGAGTCTTACGAGGACAAGAGGTCACGTAGGTCAGCATGGGGTCATATTTTGCCACGCTGACCAACAGAGTTCACACGTCATCAGTAGTGATGGCAGTAGGTCATCAAACAGTAGGTCATCAATAGGTCACAAGACGTTTTTAGTCTACATGGTATCATAAGGTCACACTGATTAGCAAGAGGTTATACTATCTATTAGGCCAGTCGGGGTCATGTGGTCCTGTAGATCAGAAAGGGGTCACAAGAGGTCACGTAGGCCAGCGAGGCCTACGTGACCTCCGAAGAGGTCACATGTTGCAGTAGAGGTCACACCTATCAATGTAGTGCCTCCGAAATAAGCAAAATTATAAACAGCGAACGACTAGCAACCTAATGGGACAATCCAGAAGAACATGATGAGTTTGGCAACATGATTTCAACGTCATGTATCAGTGGCAATTTTCCTGAAAAGGGAGGGGGAGGGGAGGGAGTAAGAGAAGGGGAGGAGAGGGGGAGGGGTGTGGAGAGGGGGGAGGGGAGGGAGAAAGAGAAGAGGAGGAGAGGGGGAGGGGTGTGGGGGGGAGGAGAGGGGGAGGGGAGGGAGAAAGAGAAGAGGAGGAGAGGGGGGTGGGAGGGGGAGGGGGAGGGGAAGGAGAGGTGAGGGTGTAGGGGGAAACCTTGACAACACACCATGCGCAGAATAAACAAGTGGGATAACAAAACTGAACATTAAGTCTTAGCTCCCTGCAAACACGCAAAAGTAACCACGACATTATTTGAACTATTTTGGTACGTCGTTACAAAGCTGTAACAACGTAATTACGTTAACAAGTAAACGTTGCTTGTGTTGCCGGGGGGGGGGGGGGGGGGTGACAACTATTGTCACCCCCCCCCCCCCCTGCCACCCACGGCGTCTGCTGCCTGCCACTGGAGGGTACAACACCTACCTGACGTTATCACCGAGGGTGCTGACGGGTCGGTACTGTCTAGGGACGGCGCCCTGGGCCCTCCGCCAGGTGATGGTGGGCGTGGGCGAGCCGTGGGCGGTGCAGGGCAGCAGGAGGTCTGCTCCCACAACTACTGATGCGTCCTCAGGCTCCACTTTCCAAGACGGAGCCACTGTATCATGAAGGCAGGAATTAGCGATCCTGAATGTACATATGCATATAACTATACCTATAAGAAAAAAATGTTTCTCTCTTCATAGATGGAGGCCAGATGCTAGGGGCTAGCCTCACCTAAATTTACAGGAGAAAATGGTCTGAGGTACGAGATGGACATAGGCTAGTCGGGGTGGGCCTAAGTTAAATATTTTAAGAAATATTGGTAATTATAAATACCCCTACGCCATTTTCATGGCGTGTGGTTAACGTGGACTTGGTATTGAATAGAAGGAAGAATGGATAAAGAGAAGAGTAAGGAGAAGCAAAACATCTGAAGCCTATACATTTGTTTCAGTGCTTCTTGAAGGAGGTTGAAGACGAGAGGACGAAGAGATAACTAGATAAAGAGATAGCTAACTAGATAGAGAGATAGTTAGAGTCAGAGGGTGGAAGCAGACACACTGGATATATGGAGGTGCCCGGGTCGAGCCCAAAAGGTCGCAACATTTAAACGTCAGAGCTCCCGAATGGAAATGTGTCATTAGAACACGTTTGTTGTATGTCAATATCTAAATACAGTATTAATAATACCTCCTTTATGGACACGGCCTTACACCGAAGGAGGTAGACCTGGGGTCTATGAGGCGTGAGACAGACACAAACCTGTCGTTGTTCTGTGTAGTCTCTCAGGCTTGGTGCATTCTTTTAATAATGTCTTTACGAGGAGTGAGACACATATATGAGGGAAGCTCGCTTTTGACAACGAGTGTGAAACACACACAAGAAGGGAGGCATAGGCTTGCCTTTGACTATGAGGAGACGCACAAGGAGGGGGCAAAGGCCTACCTTTGACTATGAGGAGACGCACGAGGAGGGGGCAAAGACCTACCTTTGACTATGAGGAGAGACACAAGGAGGGGGCGAAGGCCTACCTTTGACCACGAGGTGGACAGTCTGGGCATCAGAGGCGACAGCGTTGGTGGCGGTGCAGGTGTACCTGCCGCCATCCTCCTGGCGGAGGGAGGTGAAGAGCAGCACGCTGGTGTACTCGTCCAGGGACCTGCGGCAGGAGAGCCTAGGAGGTCATGCGAGTCACCGGGTGTTACCACAAGTGTTTACAGACACCAGTCCATAACTTATAAATCAGAATTCAGTTTGACAGTAATAATTTACAATGAAATAGATGTTGTAAGTGTTACGTATTGTTGTATACATTTGTTTTCGGCCGGATTCGCATAAAGTTTGCCAACCAGGGAGCCGGTCGGCCGAGCGGACAGCACGCTGGGCTTGTGATCCTGTGGTCCTGGGTTCGATCCTAGGTGCCGGCGAGAAACATTGGACAGAGTTTCTTTCACCGTTTGCCCCTGTTACCAAGCAGTAAAATAGGTACCTGGGTGTTAGTCAGCTGTCACGGGCTGCTTCCTGGGGGTGGAGGCCTGGTCGAGGATCGGGCCGCGGGGACACTAAAAAGCCCCGAAATCATCTCAAGAAGATAACCCTTCCGTGCTATGGGTTATGGTCACAGATATATTCTATAAATATACTTCTAGACTTGTATTAAGCATCTGTATCATTTGCCAATATTGTTGGGCAATGTACTTTCTAGTTAATTAGAATTCCAAAGTAATTTCGTATGTTATGAACTGTATGATGGTGAGGGAGCCTTGTGGGAGGGTTGTGTGGGGCCATCACCTTGCCACATGCTATAAAGTTTAAAGTGTTAGTGGTACATTACTAAAGTGTATCTTTATATTGAATAAGAGTATATAATGTGTGCATTTCAGTGGGAAACAATAATATAAGTGGGAGTACTTAGAATGTGAACCCGCTACAAAAATAATTCTCAGTGAATATAATTCCGTTCTTGCCTGTAGTATTAATTAATATTCCTTTATTCTATAATAGTTTAGCTTTTGATAGTATTGCTATAAGAGGAAAATATGTACATTAGGACTCAATAGTAAGTACCTGGTGTGTGTTTTGTTATCTGCTTTGGTATCAACAGCTAGTTATCTTCAGGTTATCTTCAGATGATTTCGGGCTTTTTAGTGTCCCCGCGGCCCGGTCCTCGACCAGTCCTCCACCCCCAGGAAGCAGCCCGTGACAGCTGACTAACACCCAGGTACCTATTTTACTGCTAGGTAACAGGGAAATAAGGTGAAAGAAACTCTGCCCACTGTTTCTCGCCAGGCGCCTGGGATCGATCCCAGGACCACAGGATCACAAGTCCCGCGTGCTGTCCGCTCGGCCGACCGGCTCCCTTCCCACCTGGTCACTTCAATAGGAAATTGAGGGTCAACATGATTGAGAATTGTCTCAGCACATCTCCTCAGCTCATTTATGGTATGATATTTTCTAGTATAGACTTACTTTCTGGCAAATTAATTATTTACACGTTAGTGTATAGAAATATTGATAATATCTCTTTAGCGGAAGACTTAATAATTTGTCAGTGATACTTTAAATGTTACTTGTAGGTCCTGCACAACTGGACCCTTAACTGATCATTATAGTCTGTATGTGTGTATGTATGTATGTATGTATGTATGTATGTATGTATGTATGTATGTATGTATGTATGAATGCATGTATGTATGTATGTATGTATGTATGTATGTATGTATGTATGTATGTATGTATGTATGTATGTATGTATGTATGTATGTATGTATATATGTATGTATGTATGTATGTATGTATGTATGTATGTATGTATGAATGCATGTATGTATGTACGTATGTATGTATGTATGTATGTATGTATGTATGTATGTATGTATGTATGTATGTAATGTATACATGTATGTATGTATGTATGTATGTATGTATGTATGTATGTATGTATGTATGTATGTATGTATGTATGTATGTATACATGTATGTATGTATGTATGTATGTATGTATGTATGTATGTATGTATGTATGTATGTATGTATGTATGTATGTATGTATGTATGTATGTAATGTATACATGTATGTATGTATGTATGTATGTATGTATGTATGCATGTATATATGTATTCACTTAGTTGTTAGTTGTATTCACCTAGTTGTGCTGGCGGGGATTGAGCTCTACTCTTTCGCTCCGCCTCTCAACTGTCAATCAATCACCTGTTACTATTTTTTCACACACACACCCAGGAAGCAGCCCGTGACAGCTGTCTAACTCCCAGGTATCTGTTTACTGCTAGGTAACAAGTGTATCAAGGTGAAGGAAACTCTGCCCATTTTGTTTCCTAGCCGGCGCCAGGAATCGAACCCGGGCCTCAAGATTACGTGTCCAGCGTGCTGTCCACACGGCTACCGGCGCCCCATGTATGTCAGTATGTATGTATGAAGTGTGTGCATCGTGAATGTAATATAATTAAGTATACTGGCAAACTTGCTGCTGGGTTTCTATTATCCCTAATTATTCCTCCAGTGTAATTAAGGGTTGATTAAGGGATCAGGCCAAAGGGGCTCAAATTGGGGAGAGGTTCAGGAAGCTCCCCGCGCTATATAATAGAGGTTCAGGAAGCTCCCCGCGCTATATAATAGAGGTTCAGGAAGCTCCCCGCGCTATATAATAGAGGTTCAGGAAGCTCCCCGCGCTATATAATAGAGGTTCAGGAAGCTCCCCGCGCTATATAATAGAGGTTCAGGAAGCTCCCCGCGCTATATAATAGAGGTTCAGGAAGCTCCCCGCGCTATACAATAGAGGTTCAGGAAGCTCCCCGCGCTATACAATAGAGGTTCAGGAAGCTCCCCGCGCTATAGAATAGAGGTTCAGGAAGCTCCCCGCGCTATACAATAGAGCATAGAGCATAGAGTTGCTTCGGTCCTCTGGTACAGTTTACAGGCTCGTGGCAGTAACTCGCTCTCTTAAGTAGTACACCTCATCGTGACGTCAAAATCCCGAGCGGACACATATATAAAGTGTATATCATAGCGGCTCACAAACATTCACGTTTTCTATGCATGGTCGATAGGTTAGGTTAGGTTAGGTTCGATAATTTTAGTATACCATTTTCCATCCGTTGCAGCAACTCGAGAGAACGGCTGACTTTATACAACATGGATTAAGGCTGTTATGTGAATTAGACATGAGTATTTTTTTGCCCAGCGGAAGTGTTCTGTTATTTGACTACTTGGTATGGGGGTAGAACACAGGCTACCTGGTATGGGGGGTAGAACACTGGCTACCTGGTATGGGGGTAGAACACTGGCTACCTGGTATGGGGGTAGAACACTGGCTACCTGGTATGGGGGTAGAACACTGGCTACCTGGTATGGGGGTAGAACACAGGCTACCTGGTATGGGGGTAGAACACTGGCTACCTGGTATGGGGGTAGAACACTGGCTACCTGGTATGGGGGGTAGAACACAGGCTACCTGGTATGGGGGGTAGAACACTGGCTACCTGGTATGGGGGTAGAACACAGGCTACCTGGTATGGGGGTAGAACACAGGCTACCTGGTATGGGGGGTAGAACACTGGCTACCTGGTATGGGGGTAGAACACTAGCTACCTGGTATGGGGGTAGAACACAGGCTACCTGGTATGGGGGTAGAACACTGGCTACCTGGTATGGGGGGTAGAACACTGGCTACCTGGTATGGGGGTAGAACACAGGCTACCTGGTATGGGGGTAGAACACAGGCTACCTGGTATGGGGGTAGAACACAGGCTACCTGGTATGGGGGGTAGAACACTGGCTACCTGGTATGGGGGTAGAACACTAGCTACCTGGTATGGGGGGTAGAACACTAGCTACCTGGTATGGGGGGTAGAACACTGGCTACCTGGTATGGGGGTAGAACACTGGCTACCTGGTATGGGGGGTAGAACACAGGCTACCTGGTATGGGGGATAGAACACAGGCTACCTGGTATGGGGGGTAGAACACTGGCTACCTGGTATGGGGGTAGAACACTGGCTACCTGGTATGGGGGGTAGAACACAGGCTACCTGGTATGGGGGGTAGAACACTGACTACCTGGTATGCGGGTAGAACACTGACTACCTGGTATGGGGGTAGAACACTGGCTACCTGGTATGGGGGGTAGAACACAGGCTACCTGGTATGGGGGGGTAGAACACTGGCTACCTGGTATGGGGGGTAGAACACTGGCTACCTGGTATGGGGATAGAACACTGGCTACCTGGTATGGGGGGTAGAACACTGGCTACCTGGTATGGGGGGTAGAACACAGGCTACCTGGTATGGGGGTAGAACACTGGCTACCTGGTATGGGGATAGAACACTGGCTACCTGGTATGGGGGGTAGAACACTGGCTACCTGGTATGGGGGTAGAACACTGACTACTTGGTATGGGGGGGGGGTAGAACCTGGTGTGAACGAAGGACGCTGACTGTCTTGTGCCAACCTAACTCCGCCCAGTATGGGCCTGAAGAAGAGAACATATTTCGAAAGGATGATGGTACATATGAGATGGAGGCACGAGGAGGCATACCTGACGGAGATGCAGGCACGAGGAGACATACCTGACGGAGATGGTGGGCCCTGGGGAGAGAGGGCGGCCGTCGTGGGTCCAGGCGAAGGACAGAGGCAAGTCTCCTCGCTCCACCACACACATGATCCTAGCGCGAGACTTGGCAGGGAATCCTGAGCCCAGTGAGATCATCCGCTTGTCTATCTGGGGCGGCACTGTGAAGGAGACGTGAGAGGTGAGAGGAGGGGGATTTTGTGTCTGGGGAAACAGCGGAGAGGAACATATATGTAGCAGGAATTGTAGGATATGGTTAGGTTGGTCAGGACCAACTGAGGGAACATTTGATTGGTTTCGGAAAAGTTGTTCAATGTCAACCAATATTTTTTGACTAGTTGTATATGAAAAGGGCTGCAATTGTTCCAAGTTTCAGTACTTCAGCGTAAATGGAAAGGGAGATTTTTATTTTTCAACGAATTTTACACATTTTCAAGTGTGAATAAAAAAAAAAACTTTCAGATATAATCATTCTATGACACTTTTCTGACACATTAGCATATACTAAAGGCTCGTAACTTAAGGAATTTCTAAAACATCTTTAGTTTTCCTAATACAAATATTCAAAGTTCCCTCCAAAATTATGCAAATATGTCATGTTTTTGCTATTATAAAAAACGCTAAGTTGCGAGTTTAGAGACATACACTTTACATATAAGTTGTAAGTTTCAGGTAAATTGAGTAAAAAATTAAAGATTTATTCAAGCTTTTATGTTAGTTGAAAATATTGAAAATAAATAAGAAAATAATAAAGTCTGAGGTGCTGCCATCTGTGGCTGAGGTTGACATCAACCAGTTTTCTCCAAAACTGGCTCCCTTACAGATAAGCTTATGTGCAGTCACGTGTATAAGTTTCATGCAAATCCTCCGATGAAAAAACATAACAAAAAAAATTTTGAAAACAAAAAAATAGTAACTTAAATTTTTTTTAATAAAACTAATTATGATATTTTTTTAATATATAGTATTGTGATAGGTGAGTCATAGATATGATTTAATATATGGTATTGTGATAGGTGAGTCATAGATATGATTTAATATATGGTATTGTGATAGGTGAGAGTCATAGATATGATATCAGCTGACACTTGTGTTTGATAATCGTTTTTGATCATTTTGGAATAATTTTGACACCTACTTCTTGAGGTTATCTTGAGATGATTTCGGGGCTTTAGTGTCCCCGCGGCCCGGTCCTCGACCAGGCCTGCACCCCTAGGAAGCAGCCCGTGACAGCTGACTAACTCCCAGGTACCTATTTACTGCTAGGTAACAGGGGCATTCAGGGTGAAAGAAACTTTGCCCATTTGTTTCTGCCTCGTGCGGGAATCGAACCCGCGCTACAGAATTACGAGTCCTGCGCGCTATCCACCAGGCTACGAGGCCCCTCCTACTTCAATATTTTTTTCTCCCTTCCTATTTATGCTACGATGCTGAGACTTGGACCAGATGAAACCCTTTTCCTATACAACAAGTCAAAAGAGTTTGATTGAAATCGAACAAATTTTCATTTAATGGATTTTTTGGGGGAAATCTGGATCTAATGCTCCTAAGGAAACGCTTTAGGGTGAGGCATGAGGTGAAAGAAAACGCGTCTAAACATCTCTGTCCTGCAGCAGGAATCAAACCCGGCACCCTGCGATTGTGAAGCGACTGCGCAGACACCTGGATAGTGTCCTTCAGCAGACAGTTCGATGGTGTCACTAAAATTAGAATGCAATTGTTCATTGCATGTGCCTATAGCTTCTAACAAAAAGTATGGATAAGCTTCAAGAATGACTAGTGTCTAAGAAAAAATACTATAGTACAAAAAAACACTATTGGATAAAGTTGTATAATGAGGGACACCTCCATATCTTTAGCTAATACAGATAAAGGAATCAAACTTACAAGATGCAGTGTGACTGCGTAAATATAATCACACAACTACTGAATCACGACAGTCACATATCCACACGTTTAGGTTAATTAGTGCCTGGATAAAGGTGGGTGATCGCCTCTGAGCACCACTGCGGAATGCTGTGATCACTAACCCATAACATTGACCTGGAGAGTGGCTCTGGCAGTGTTCTCCCCGGCGGAGGCGACGCAAGTGTACTGTCCTCCGTCGGCCTCGCGGGACACCTGGCGCACCACCAGCGTACCGTTGGCCAGCACCTCCTGACGCTCTGACACCGGCAGCACCACTCCTGTAGGAGGGGACGAGGCAGGAGGCAATGAGTACGAAGTAGGAGGAAGTAGGAAAGAGAGGTGAAAGGAGAGCGAGGGAGAAATGAATGACTCGAGGGAGGAGGGAAGATCAAGGGACAAGCGCGGAAGACAAACATTAAGTAGGAGAGGAAAAAGTGGCGCATAGAAGAAGTAAGAAAGCAAGCAGGAAGCAAAGTAAGCTGCTACGTGGGAAGGAAAGCAGAGGAAAAAAGTAGGTAAAGAAAAAATAATAGAAAGAGCAAGGTAGTAATCAAAGGCATCAGGAAAATAAGCATATCATGTAATGAGCAGGACGAACAGGCGGGAATGGAGATAAGAGACTCTTAGAAATGTTCGCGAGTTAGATAAGAGCGGAGGAACATGATGTCTTGCAACACATATTCTGGAAGTAATTCAGGAAATAGAGATGCGTGGATGAGATGGTAGACGTCGATTCAAATACTTGTGAGGGAAAAATAAACAGTGAATGAGTTGAGAAATTGGCGACGAGGCAAAATACTAAAGTGGACACAACTAG